CACATCTGTCACGGTATACCAGTGTCAGATCCACATCTGCTCCAGTGATCCACATCTGTCACGGCGTACCAGTGTCAAATCCACATCTGCCCCAGTGATCTACATCTGTCACGGCGTACCAGTGTCAAATCCACATCTGCCCCAGTGATTCACATTGTCACGGCGTACCAGTGTCAAATCCACATCTGTCCCAGTGATCCACATATGTCACGGCATACCAGTGTCAAATTCTCATCTGCCCCAGTGATCCACATCTGCAACAGCGTACCAGTGTCAAATCCACATCTGTCACGGCGTACCAGGGTCAAATCAACATCTGTCCCCAGTGATCCACATCTGTTATGGCGTCCCAGTGATCCACATCTCTGCCCCAGTGATTCACATCTGTCCCGGCATCCCAGTGTCAGATCCACATCTGTCCCAGTGATCCACATCTGTAACGGCCTCCCAGTGTCAGATTCACATCTGCCCCAGTGATCCACATCTGTCACGGCGTACCAGTATCAGATCCACATCTGTCACGGCGTACCAGTGTCAGATCCACATCTGTCACAGCGTACCAGCGTCAAATCCACATCTGTCCCAGTGATCCACATCTGTCACGGCGTACCAGTGTCAGATCCTCATCTGTCCCAGTGATCCACATCTGGCACGGCGTACCAGTGTCAGATCCACATTTGCCTCAGTGATCCACATCTGTCACGGCGTACCAGTGTCAGATCCACATCTGTCCCAGTGATCCACATCTGTCACGGCGTACCAGTGTCAAATCCACATATGCCCCAGTGATCCACATTGTCACGGAGTACCAGTGTCAAATCCACATCTGTCACGGCGTACCAGTGTCGGATCCTCATCTGTCCCAGTGATCCACATCTGTCACGGCGTACCAGTGTCAGATCCTCATCTGTCCCAGTGATCCACATCTGTCACGGTGTACCAGTGTCAAATGAACATCTGTCCCAGTGATCCACATCTGTAACGGCGTCCCAGTGTCAGATTCACATCTGCCCCCAGTGATCCACATCTGTCACGGCGTCCCAGTGTCAGATCCACATCTGTTTGGCGTCCCAGTGTCAGATCCACATCTGCCCCATTGATCCACATCTGTCACGGCATACCAGTGTCAGATCGACATCTGTCACGGCGTACCAGTGTCAAATCCACATCTGTCCCAGTGATCTACATCTGTCACGGCGTACAGTGTCAGATCCTCATCTGTGCCAGTGATCCACATCTGTCCACATCGTGCCAGTGATACCAGTGTACAGTGTCAGATCCTCATCTGTGCCAGTGATCCACATCTGTCACGGCGTACCAGTGTCAGATCCTCATCTGTCCCAGTGATCCACATCTGTCACGGCGTACCAGTGTCAGATCCACATTTGCCCTAGGGATCCACATCTGTCACGGCGTACCAGTGTCAGATGCACATCTTTCCCAGGGATCCACATCTGTCACGGCGTACCAGTGTCAAATCCACATCTGCCCCAGTGATCCACATCTGCCCCAGTGATCCACATCTGTCACGGCGTACCAGTGTCAAATCCACATCTGTCACGGCGTCCCAGTGTCAAATCCACATCTGTCCCAGTGGTCCACATCTGTTACGGCGTCCCAGTGGTCCACATTTGTCACGGCGTCCAGTGTCAGATCCACATCTGCCACGGCGTCCCAGTGTCAGATCCACATCTGCCCTAGTGATCCACATCTGTCACGGCGTACCAGTGTCAAATCCACATCTGTCCCAGTGAGCCACATCTCTCATGGTGTACAAGTGTCAAATCCACATCTGTCCCAGTGATCCACATCTCTCATGGTGTACCAGGTGTCAAATCCACATCTGTCAGTTTACCAGTGCTCAATATCTGTCAGAGTATTAGTGTAAAATCCACATCTGTACCAGTGAACATCAAAATCAACAATATCAGCAGTGCAGCATAAACATGTCTAAAAAATTATACACCAGCAAGGAGGATTTCCAAATGCTGAGTATGACGGACGAGAGTAGCAGGGAACTCTCTCTGTCAGACTCAGATTCTGAGTATGAGCCAGTTGAAAGCAGTGGGTCAGCAACAGATTCTGATGAGGAGAGAGTCCAAACAAAGAGGTTCAGGAGATCTGAGGAGGAGTAGGCATCCATCAGTAGTGCAGTGGCGAGTACAAGCAGTGCAGCACTCCCAGAAGTTGGCAGCAAAGTGTATTTTGGGGTGTAATTCTTGGTTTGTAAGTGCTGTGTTAGAAATATTTTATAAATGGACAACTTTGTGTTAAAAAAAAAACAAAAACTTTTCATTTTCTTACAACTTGTGGAAAAAAATGACATGTTCAAAAGATTCATTATGCCTCGTAGAATATACATTGGGGTGTTTTCTTTTCAAAATGGGGTAATTTTGTGGGTAATTCCATTGTCCTGGTGCTCCAGGGCCTTCAAAAATGTGATAGTCATGAAATGAGATGCGTCATTTATGCCTCCAGAACACCTGTAGATACTATTTGGATGTTGGGCCTCTGTATGTGGCCAGGCTGTGGAAAAGTCTTACACGTATATAGGAGGAGCAGCAGAATGTGTTTTGGGGTGAAGCTACAAGTATGCATAACCTGTTAATATAACAATTGTGTGAAATAAAAACACATTTTATTTACTTCATTTTCCAAAGAATTGTGGGAAAAACATTACAGGTTCAAAAAACTCACTATGCACCTTACTAAATACCTTGGAATGTCTGCTTTCCAAAAAGGGGTCATTTGGGGGGTACTTGTACAGTCCTGGCTTGTTAGTGTCTCATGAAATGAGATAGGCCATCAGGTGTGATCAATTTTCAATGATTGGTACCATAGCTTGCAGACTTTATAACTTTTCACACAGACCAAATAATACACACCGATTGGGATTCATTTTAGCAAAGCAATGTAGCGGTATACATTTTGGCTCAAATTTATGAAGAAAAATTACTTATTTGCAAAATTTTATAACTGACAGGAAGAAAAATGTGTGTTCTTTTTTTTTCAAACTTTTAATTTAATAAAAAAAAAATTAAAAACCCAGTGCTAATTAAATACCACCAAAAGAAAACTGTTTTTGTGTGAAAAAAGGACAAAAATTTCAGTTGGGTACAGTGTTGCATTACTGAGTAATTCTCATTCAAAGTGTGAGAGCACTGAAAGCTGAAAACTGGTCTCGGCAGGAAGAGGGTAAACGTGCCTGGTATTGAGGTAGTTAAAGTGTATTTTTTCCCAAAAAAATTGCGTTTGAAAAATATATTTTTTTAACCACTTGCCTACCGGGCACTTTTACCCCCTTTATGCCCAGACCAATTTTCAGCTTTCAGCGCTGTCGCACTTTGAATGACAATTGCGCAGTCATGCAACACACTGTACCCCTATGAAATGTTTATATTTTTTTCACACAAATAGAGCTTTCTTTTGGTGTTTTTTAATCGCCGCTGGGTGTTATTTTTTGCTCTATAAACAAAAAAAAAACTTTTTTTTTTTTTTTTTTTTTTTCAATTATAGAATTTTGCGAACAGGTAATTTTTCTCCTTCACTGATGTGCATTGATGAGGCTGCACTGATAGGCAGCACTGATGGGCACTAGAGAGGTGGCACGGATAGGCGGCACTGACTGGCGGTATTACTGGGCACTGACTGGCGGTACTGCTGGGCACTGACTGGCGGCACTGCTGGGTGGCACTGCTGGGCACAGGTGGGTGGCACTGCTGGGCACAGGTGGGCGCACTGCTGGGCACTGATCATCCGTGCCGATCTCTTCTCTGACAATTGCCGGTTATCGGCAGTACTTTCCTCACGCTGTGACAGCATGAGAAAAGTATATCCGATAACTGGCAACTGTATTTACTTGGTGATCTGCTGTGTCGTTGGACACAGCTGATCACGTGGTAAAAGGCCGCTCTGATTTGCCTATTACCACATCACGTGATCAGCAGTGTCCATAGGATGCAGCAATCACCGGTGGTGCCGGGTACGCGCCACTGGGGGTGCGCAGAGGGCATGTTCAGGGAGGACGTCAATGGATGTCCTTCCAGAACTAGACAACCGCACTGTAGCTGTCTTTCGGCTATAGCGCAGTTGGGAAGAGGTTAAAAACTGTCCATTTTTGTTTTCGGCCAAGTGCATCCTGAATTTTCCAGAAGAATTTTCATTTCGGTGCACCACTTTTACAAACTCATGGGTCTGTTCAAACTTGTGTGGAGTTTTTTGTGTTTTTCTGAATTAGATCTCTGTAAGGGGACATCGAATACAATTAATGTGCCCTGTTGATCTTTAAACGCAGCCTTTGGATGAGCTGTACTGCAGATATCTGCAACATGTCTGCAGCATTCCTTCCTGCACTGCACCTCACCCTCAACTGTATTTATCATCTGTATTTCCAAGCACTGTAGCTCAGATATGGTGCTTAGTAATGAATGGAATTTTTAAAAAATCATCCTTACCAAGGTGGTAAGTATGCTGCATCTGTATGCCCCCCCCCCCCCCCCCCCCCCCGACTCTGAGAACTGAGTTCTTACCGCCGCTGTGAGCAGAGAGCGGTGACTCTGTCAGAAGCTTTGGCTGTACTTCTCCTTTACAATGGGAAAAGATCCGCTCCAAAGTATGTAAGAACAGAGATCACTTATAGGTATGGATGACGTCCTTATTAAGGTAGAAATGGCACACCAGTCAAAGGCTGCTAACGAGATAGGAACTTCACAGCCAGCTGATCCCTGTGATTGTATAGATGGTTTCAGTCCTAAATTGGCCACATTAAATAACTAACTGGGGTTTATTTACTAAATTTACTGAAGACTGCAATATCAGGTTCACTTCTGCATAGAAGCCAATCCGCTTCCATGTTTTATTGCCAAAGCTTGATTGAACAAGCTGACAGAAGCTGATTGGCTACCATGCACAGGTGCACTAGCTTTAGAGTGAACCAGCTTTAGTAAATCTCCCCTTCTGTATTTGTAAAAACAAGATTGACAGAATTGTTCTCCTTTTTAGGTCCTCCACCGACCAACCTTTTCCAGCCTCCGCGGCGTCCTGGCTTAGGAACATTAGGAAAACCAATAAGGCTACTGGCCAACCACTTCCAGGTACAGATACCGAAGATTGATGTTTACCATTATGATGTGGACATTAAACCTGAGAAAAGGCCCAGAAGAGTCAACAGGTGAGCAAAACATTTTTAACAGCAGTATAAGGGTTTTTAAAACTGTATTGATGCATGATCTGTCCAACAATGTCCTTTGTGGTTTAGGGAGGTGGTTGACACGATGGTGCGACATTTCAAAATGCAGATATTTGGAGATCGCCAACCTGGATATGATGGAAAGAGAAATATGTACACTGCACATCCACTGCCAATTGGGAGGGATAGGGTAAGTGTATTTATGCTGTGTGCTACTGGCTTCTACACTTCTGCATTAGTTTATGGTTTTCTTTCCCCCTTATGACCATTAATTGATAACAAATGTGCTGGAGTACAGTGCATCCAGAAAGTATTCACAGAGCTTAACTTTTGCCACATTTTGTTACGTTAGAGCTTTGTTTCAAAATGGATTAAATACATTTTTTTCCTCAACATTCTACAAACAATACCCCAGAATGACCACGTGAAATAATTTTGTTTTGAAATCTTTGCAATTTAATAAAAATAAAAAACTAAAAAAAAAACACATGTTCATAAGTACTCACAGCCTTTGCTCAGTATTTTCTTGAAGCATCTTTAGCACCAATTACAGCCTCAAGTTATTTTGAGTATGATGTCACAAGCTTGGCACACTTATTTTTGTGCAATTTCTCGAATTTGTATTTGCAGTATGTCTCAAGCTCCATCAGGTGGGATGGGGAGGGTCTGCGCACAGCCATTTTCTGATCTTTCCAGAGATGTTCAATCAGGTTCAAGTCTGGGCTCTGGCTGAGCCACCCCAGGACATTCACAGAGTTGGCCTGTAGCCACTCCTTTGTTATGTGGGCTGTGTTCCTGCTTAGGGTCCTTGTCCTGTTGAAAGATAAACCTTCGCCCCAGTCTAAGGTCCAGAGCGCTCTGGAACAGGTTTTCATTAAGGATGTCTCTGTACATTGCTGCATTCATCTTTCCTTCGATCCTGACTAGTCTCCCAGTTTCTGCCGCTGAAAAACATTCCCACAGCATGATGCTGCCACCACCATGCCTCACTGAGGGATGGTACTGACCAGATGGTGAGCGGTGCATGGTTTCCTCTAGACATGACGCTTGGCATTCAGGCCAAAGACTTCAATCTTTGTTTCATCAGCCAGAGTTTTGTTTCTCATGGTCTGAGAGTCCCTCAGGTGCCTTTTGGCAAACTATAGTCGGGCTGCCATTTGCCTTTTACTGAGTGGCGGCTTCTGTCTGGCCACTCTACCAGTGCTGCAGAGATGTTGTTCTTCTGGAACGTTCTCCTCTGTCCACAGGGAAACGCTGGAGCTCTTTCAGAGTGGCCATTGGGTGCTTGGTTACCTCCCTGGCTAAGGTTCTTCTCCCTCGATCGCTCATTTTGGCTGGGTGGCCTGCTCTAGGAAGATTCCTGGTGGTTCCAAACTTCTTCCATTTACGGATGATGGCGGCCACTGTGCTCAATGGGACCTTCAATGCTGCAGAAATTTTTCTGTACCCTTCCCCAGATCTGTGCCTTGATACAATCCTGTCTCGGAGGTCTACGGACAATTCTTTGGACTTCATGGCATGGTTTGTGCTCTGACATGCACTGTTAATTGTGGGACCTTCTATAGACAGGTTTATGCCTTTTCTAATCATGTCCAATCAACTGAATTTCCCAAAGGTGGACTCCAATCAAGTTGTGTAAACATCTCAAGGATGATCAGGGGGAACAGGATGCACCAGAGCTCAATTTTGAGTGTCATGGCAAAAGGCTGTGAATACATGCACATGTTTTTTTTTTTTTTTTTTTTTTATTTTTAATAAAGCGCTGTGAATACTTTCTGGATGTTCCGTCACTGTATACAATGCTTACCTCTTCTGCCTTTCTCTGCCACCCCCATCCCCATTTACAGTTCACATAATATAATATCTCCCACTGACAAATGATATGAAATTTACCCATTCCAGTGCACGCACACCTCCACCCTTAACTGAATTCCAGTGACCGTTAGCAACTCCACATGATCATGCTTTGGTGCTTACCAGACCTTTTGATGTAAGAGGTCAACATGCTGCATCTTTAACAACCAGTAATTCACCTCCCTGTAGCTTGAGCCACATATGTACACTAGAGAAGGGGGGCTTGGTCACACCCCCTCCACAAGTACCACCCAATCAAAATGCAAGCCTTGCAAGCAGGCTCCTCCTCGGGGACTTTTCACTCCAGAGTGAATTCCCGAGCAGCGTCTGACCAGCTGCTGTGGAGGGAGAGATCTCTATCTCCAGTGTGTGACTGGTGTTAAATACACTGCAGAATGCTGCACCTGCCGGAACTGTCACTGTCTGTGATCGGCCTTGATCAGTCCGGGACAAGGTCGCAGAGTGTTTTTACAGTGTTCCCCTCCTGCAATGGCGGCATTGCTGGTGGTGGGTGGGATGGTGGGGTCCCAGTTGCTGGGGCGCGGTTTGTGGTTGCTGGGGCGACAGGCAGTATGCTGTTGGCACTCGGTGCATCCATCTTCTCCTTGTCTTCCTTCCAGGTTTGCTTTGTTTGGCTGCATGAATGGCCAGGCCAAGGCCATGATGCCGTGATCTGCTCACACTACCGTGTCATTCATTCTGAGTTCTGCGAATGAATGCCTACAAGTACCGTCAGCCTTTGCAGCTGACGACTTGTAGTTCTCGGTGAATTGCAAGGGTGCTGGTGAGCACTCTTGTAGTCCATTGAGCTGCCTGGACTGACGTAACTGCCCTGCCCATGTTGGAGATATGGGCAAACGGGTACATTGACGGTCTGCAGGAGCCTGACATCTCTTGATCATGGGTACAGTACTTTACAGGCTCCTATGAAAAAAAAAAAATAGTAAATGCACATTTTTTTACCTGCAAAAAATGTGCATTTGTTTTTTGTTTTTCTTTTACCAAGGTGAACTTCTACATTTAAACAAGTAGTAGGGCCGAAGATTTTTTTGGCCCTACTTGTTCTGTAGGTTACAGGAGTGCACTTCATTCTGCACTCTTGTGATCCAGATTCAGCCGACCATGAGCTGCATCCCACTGTCGGCTGATGTCGCTCAGCCAGTCCAGACTCTGGAGGGATCCTAGCAGCTGGCTCAGACTCCCAGCCACTGAGAGCCTGAGCAAGCCACTCCCAACCCTCCAGTGAATGCTGGAGGGAAGAGCAGAGAAGAGGTCAATTGACTGACAGTCACCTTCTCTCTGCTCACTGAAAGCCGAGAAACGTGCGATCAGCAGTCTTTGACAGAGTCTTAGAGGCGGCAAGGGACAGATTCAGCATTGGATTGATGCTGCATCCACCTAGGTGGGTATGGAAGTGATTGTGGTATGTAAGTGGTCAATATTCAAGTTTCATTGCTGTCACAATTTGAATGGCAATTACTCATGCATTGAACTACTCATGCAACACTGTACCCAAATGAAATTTTCATTCTGTTCACACAAATAGAGCTTTCTTTAGGTGGTGGTTGATCACTACTGGATTTATTTCTTCCTAAATAAATGGAGAGACAGAAAATTTTGCATGAAAACCCCACATTTTTCTTTTCTGTTATAACATTTGAAAATCTTTTATTAATGTAGGATAAAATGTATTCTACTATAATTCTTTGGTAAAAATAACCCAAATCAGTGTCTAGTTAGTCTGTAGGAGAGTTAGTCTACAAGCTATGGGATACATATTTGAAAATCTATTAGTCCTGATGAACTGACAGCCCAGCTGACTTCTTATGGCCACAGAATGCCATGACAGCACAAATATCCCCTCAAATTACCCCTTTTTGAAAAGTAGACAGAGGCATGGCGAGTTTTTTGAAGATGTAATTTTGTCACCATTTTTTTTGAAAAATTAAAAAATTACTAAAATTTATCTTTTTTTTATTTTTTACGTACTGTGACCAGGGCAGTGCAATGTTACCATAGTAACACTGTACTACTCTGGGAAGGTGATCAGGATTTTTTTTTACACACTATGATCGCTTTTAACATTGATCATCCCTGTTACAGGTAAACATTTGTTGTGAGTGAATCCATTCGTAGTGTATTGTTGTGATTGGACACAGTACAGATGGACTTTGATTAATACCATGTGATCACTGTGACCAATCACAGCAAGCAACATAATAGTACATAATGGCTATGAATGGAAATTGCCATGTGATCTGCTGTGATTGGTCACAGCGATCACAAGGCAGCGTCCTGGTACACTGATCTGTCATCCGCTGTTTTCGGTGGACACAGCTGGTTGCAGATTGCGCCGCAGCCTTGCCCGTTTTTTTGAGGATGTCATAAAACTCCACTCAGAACGAGTTCTTGTCTGGACGTCATATTACAATAGGCTGGTTGGGAAGCAGCTAAGTGTATGTTACTTTAAATATTATTCTGTGTGTGCACATACATACACTCTATTGCCAGAAGTATTGGGCCACCCCTGCAAGTCATTGGATTCTGGTTTTCCAATCAACTCAATGGCCACAGGTGTATAAAATCAAGCACCTAGGCATACAGACTGCTTCTACAAACATTTGTGAAAGAATGGGTCGCTCTCAGGAGCTCAGTGAATTTAAGTGTGTACCGTGATAGTTTGCCACCTGTGCAATAAGTCCACGTGTGAAATTTCCTTGCTACTGAATATTCCACGGTCAGCTGTTAGTGGTATTATAACAAAGTGGAAGCAACTGGGAACAGCAGCAACTCAGCCACGAAGTGGTAGGCCACATAAAATGACAGCATGCTGGTCTGAGCATGCCAAAGTGCGCAAAAGTCATCAACTGTCTGCAGAGTTAATAGCTAAAGACCTCCAAACTTTGTGTGGCCTTCAGATTAGCACAACAGTGCATAGAGAACTTCATGGAATGGGTTTCCATGGCCGAGCAGCAGCTGCATCCAAGCCTTACATCACCAAGTGCAATGCAAAGCGTCGGATGCAGTGGTGTAAAGCACGCTGCCACTGGACTCTGGAGCAGTGGAGACGTGTTCTCTGGAGTGAAAAATCACGCTTCTCTGTCTGGCAATCTGATGGACGTGTCTGGGTTTGGCGGTTGTCAGGAGAACGGCAGTTGCCTGACTGCATTGTGCCAAGTGTAAAGTTTGGAGAGAGGATTATGATGTGGGGTTATTTTTCAGGGGTTGGGCTTGGCCCCTTAGTTCCAGTGAAGGAAATTCTTATGGCATTAATAAACCAAGACATTTTGGACAGTTTCATGCTCCCAAGTTTGGGGATGGCCCCTTCCTGTTCCAACATGACTGTGCACCAGTGCTCAAAGCAAGGTCTATAAAGACCTGGATGAGGGAATTTGAGGTGGAGGAACTTGACTGGCCTGCACCTCAACCCGATTAGAACACCTTTGGGGTGAATTAGAGTGGAAATGGGAGCCAGGCCTTCTCGTTCAACATCAGTGCCTGCCCTCACAAGTGCGCTTCTGGAAGAATGGTCAAACATTCCCATACTCCTATATTCTCATACATTCCCACTCCTAAACCTTGTGGACAGCCTTCCCAGAAGAGTTGAAGCTGTTATAGCTGCAAAGGTTGGGCCAACTCAATATTGAACCTTACGGACTAAGACTGGGATGCCATTAAAAGTCATGTGCATGTAAAGGCAGGCGTCCCAATACTTTTGGCAATATAATGTATGTGTATTTTATAAATCCAGTCTCTTATTTTCAGGGGTTTTTTTTTGTTTTCATCTGAAGTACCTGGGTGATGCTGGCACTCACCTTTCCTCCTTGTTTAACAGGTTCCTGCTCAGCCTATAGCCAGATGGCGGCCTGCAAAACCCCTCGTCCCTCCGGGTGGACGCCATATGGCGTCCTTTCAGGCATGCGCAGTTTGCATACCTGCAGAGCCATGCAGTGGCGCGATCTGTCACCGGCCGCGTACCTCGGACACCCGGACAGCTGATGACAGATCTGAGTACCGGCCCCGTTGCCGGTACCATGTGACCTGCTGTGACCAGTGACAGCAGGTCACATGACAGTTGTATACAATGGATGGCTTCCTTTCATGCCATCCATTGTGTACTAGTGTGTCTAGCTGTGAATGGTCACAGTGATCACATGCACAAGCTGGGCCAATCACAGCTGTGTCATGTGATTAGCCGTGGCCAAATCACAGCTAAGCACAAAAAAAATCCCTGAATGAATTGATGTCATTCAGGTAAATGTTTGCTTATAGCAAAGTAATTTTTTGCTATAAGCAAATTGTGTAAAAAAAAAAAAAAAAATAAAAAAATACTGATCACTTCCTGAAAGTAGTACAATGTTACTGTGGTAACATTATACTACTTTGGTCATAGTGAAATATGAAAAAAAAAAATCTTAAAAAAAAGTGTCAAATTAAAACTAATAAAAAAATTTAAAAAAATTATAATTTTTTTTTTTCCATACTGTCACCAGTCAGTGTCCCTGATCACTGCCATGCCAGTTATATGATGATGCTGTACTGCACTGGTGACATTATGTAAAAAAAAAATAGTGAAAATAATTTTTTAATTTTTTCATTTTCCAAAAAATTATGACAAAAAAAATACAACTTCAAAAAACTCGCCATGCTTCTTTATGAAATACGTCGGACTGTCTACTTTTCAAAAAAAGTGGTCATTTGGGGGATATCTGTACTGTTCTGACATTCTTGGACCTCAAGAAATTAGATTGGCTGTCAGTACTTCAGGATTGATCAATATTCAGATATTTCCCATAGTTTGTGAACTCTATAACTTTCCTATAAACTAAATAATACATCCTAATTTGGGTTATTTTCAACAAAGATATGTAGCAGAATACATCTTGGCCTAAATTTATGAAGAACAATTATTTATTTGCAAACTTTTATAACCAAAAGAAAGAAAAAGGTGGTTTTTTTGGTTTTTTTTTTTTTTTTTTTTTAAATTTTCGGTCTTTTTTTGTTAATTTAGCAAAAAATAAAAACCCCAGTGGTGATTTAATACCACCAAAAGAAAGCTCTAGTTGTGTGAAGAAAATTATAAAATTTTAGTTTGGGTACAATGTTGTATGACCACGCAATTGTCATTCAAAATGTGAGAGCGCTGAAACCTGAAAAATGGCCTGGGCAGGAAGGGGGTAGAAGTGCCCTGTATGGAAGCGGTTAAACTGATCACACAAAGCACAGAAGCTGATTTGTGTTGGTGTTAGGGGTGTATCGCCATTGGGCGATTTGAAAATAAGCACCGATACAGGGGCCAAAAATAATCCCGCCCCCTCGCCGCTCGGCGGTTCTCAGCCTTACCCAAGAAACCACTGAATGATCCTGGCACTGGGCTTAGAGATAAGTGGAGGAAAGATGGCCTCCACTCATCTCTATGACCTTGGAGGACCGGAGCGATGTCACTTATGGTTCTTTTTTTTTTTTATCATAAAAGTGTATACATTTTTAAAAACTGTCCATTTGGGTTTCAGTTTTTGGCCAAGTGCATCCTGATTTTTTGGTTTTGGCACCAGAATATTCATTTCGGTGCACCACTAGTCAGTGTGGCCAATTTTCATACTTTGGCTGGCCATTCAGAGGTACAGGACACTGTGCAGACCAAAAAAAAATCGTCTCCGCCACATGTGTTTACTACCCCAATCGAGGCCTTGCTGTGTACAGTAGTGAGTGATGTGCTCTGACTGCATTGCGCTACGAAGGGCATACTGTGCATTTTTGTTTCACTGTTGTAAAATTGTAGAATTGTGAGGTGTGTGGGGTTTTTTTTTTTTCTTTTTTTTCTTTCCCCTCTGTTAAGATGCATTGGCAAATAAAAATTAACAATATTAAAATGGTTTGCTGTGCACCTAAATGCACGTGTAGTAACTAGTGGTGCACTGAAATGAAATTTTAACTTTTAATGTATCACATTTAGGGGACCAATAGTTCCCTATGTGATAGCATATAAGCGACAGGTCCTCTTTGAGGAAAGGAGAGGGTGGGGGGGGCGTGTGTGCAAGGTGGGGGGGTAGGAGAGGAACAGTGTATACAGACAGGCTCCCTCCTTGCCACTGCTAAATTCTCATTGTGTTGAAGTGCATTTGCCGGCTTTGTTTTTTTCCGCACTCTATAGCTCTGCTGTAGCGGCAGCTGTCAATTCGACCCTGCTCGCTTCAGCAAACAAATGGGGAGGTTACTGGGTAATGTCACTGGGTGACCATGCCCCTTTATTTACTTTAGCGGCAGGGCAAATGACAGCTCCTTTTTGGAGCTGTAAAGTGAAGAAGAAAAAAAGCTGTTTAAAATACACATTACATATTCCTGCACGTGTTCGTTAAAAAAAAAACAATGCTGTATATCATATATAGCTAATGTTGTTATACAGTGCAGCTTACTAACATATGCGGTCACTGTCAGCGCTATATAAAGGAAATGGTTTGTTTGGACCAGCTTGGTCTAAATAAATTGTTTAATGTGAATTGAAACCTGTAGCACAGTGGCTAAATGATTAGCGCTTCCGCAGTACTAGGGGTCCTCTGTTCAAATCCCAACCACAGCACCACCTGCCTGGAGTTTGCATGTTCTCCCTGTGCCTGTGTGGGTTTCCTCCAGGTACTCCGGTTTCCTCCCACACTCCAAAGACATGCTGGTAGGTTAATTGGCTCCAGTTTAAACTGGCCCTGGTATGTGTATGTATGAATGTAGGTTAGGGACTTTAGATTGTACGCCCCTTGAGTGTTAGCAACTGATGTGAATGTACAATATGTATGTAAAGCGCGGCGTAAATTGACGGTGCTATATAAGTACAATAAATAAATAATAGTTGGGGGGTATAAATGTGCAAACACTGAACTATGTAGGCTGCCTCTGCTAAGCTCCTAAAAATGTTGATTGCTTGGCGGTTATTAGTGCCAGTACTTTGTCACTGGCCTGAAATAAGCATTCAGGGAGTGAAGTCATAAAATATATATAATATACATGCATTTTTGCATATTTCCATTTGCCATCATATTTGTGACAAAGTAATTTTCATGAACTTGTCGAAGTAATATTTGCTATTAGTGCATGGAGATCCGATTTCAGAAGAACATGCAATGCATTACATTTAGGCATGTTCGTATAAAATGGAAAAAAAAAGCTCACTGGGAGCATCTCTAGGTATCTGAACAGGGTCCAGTTTAATGTGCTTTGGGTCCATTCCCAGTCTGGGTATATTTTACACCTGTATATGTAATGCATTTCATTTTAGTAATTGGCCAAGTCATTAAGTCCCTAGATATAGAGATTCTCACCCCCAATCAAACTGATACCTTAGCAAAAAGCAGCTCCCGTTGCTGTCAAATCAAATGTTCCGAGCATGTTGGCCGAACCACTCCACTTAAAACCTCTGTACAGAGCGGGTAATGCATGTTTACAAAAATGTTATTGTACAGATATCTATAGATTTCACTTAGATCTTCCAAGGACTCTGTTGGCAGGGCTCTACCTTATTGGCTACAAGTTGGAATAATTTGTTTATGTATGTTCTTGAGTAACATAGTTTTTGGCCAATACTGAGATTTTGTAGAGGTTGTACAATTAGACTAAAACATTGTGTGTACAGATAAATTCAAATTTTATCGTCCTAGGTTGACCTTGAAGTGACTCTTCCGGGTGAGGGTAAAGACCAAACTTTCAAAGTGACCATTCAATGGGTGTCTGTGGTTAGTCTGCAACTGCTCCTGGAAGCCTTGGCTGGACACCTAAGTGAAGTTCCTGATGACTCTGTGCAGGCCCTTGATGTAATTACTCGCCACTTGCCATCTATGAGGTATTGAATTGCAACATGTGGCTTACAGATCATCCATTTATGGTTAGCGTGGTATTTGCTAAATTTGTCATGATTAAATCAGTTTTTTCTTAATTTATTCTGGCAACTATGATGTAGGTTTTTGTAAAATTGTGCGGTTTTCTTTTTTTTTTTGTACAGGTATACTCCTGTCGGACGTTCATTCTTCTCTCCTCCTGAGGGTTATTATCACCCGCTGGGTGGAGGTCGTGAGGTTTGGTTTGGTTTCCATCAATCTGTACGTCCTGCCATGTGGAACATGATGCTTAACATTGACGGTGAGTGAAAAGGCATTTGTTCAATATGCCTTATTCTAATTTACCTGGTTGTGGTTCTGGTCCAGAATTTCTTATCAGAATTTGTGTATTAAATTTTAAAGTCCCATGCTTAAACTTGTCAGCTGTCACTTTTTTCTCTTGATCACTTTGCACCTATTGGTATCTTAATTTTGCAGCACTAGCCCCCTTTGACAGGGCGGACTTGATCAGAGGGTCTTTTCACTCCTATGGTCTGTGTACGCTCACATGCCTCCAATCCAATTTGGTCCTTTTAAAAAAGAAAGGGGATCCATCAACTGTAAGTGGACAGAGGAGTCTGTTTATTCCTAGCCACCCGTAGATCAGGGTGGGCCCTGTCCGTATCCACTCTTCAGAAACTGAGTGGACATGGACCTGTAATCTGCCTGCTCTGATCAGCGTAAATAGTGACTTGTTTGGTGGGTGGGATCTAATTCTGCTGTCAAATTACTTTGCATGTGTTAAGTATTTAGACAAATTGTATAACAGGGGCACCCATGTTCTGGACTTTTATCTGCTTTTAAGCCCCTCTTCACACCGATGCGACTTGTCATGCAATTTGACAGTTCAAATCTCATGACAAGTTGCACCCTATTGTTCGCAATGGAACTGTTCTAAATAGTTTGACTCACACTCGAGTTGCACTGACTTTTGAATGTAGTTCCTGCACTACTTTTGAATGTAGTTCCTGCACTACTTTTGGTGATTTTCGGGTGTGACTTGCATAGTCATCTGTGCTTGAAGTTGCAATGATGTCTTACAAGTCGCATTGACATGCAACTTTGAAAGTGAAGTGAACTTGAGCATGCTTTCAAAGTCACATTGAGTGTGAAGTAACAGTAAGGGGTTTGCTTATATCAGCTAGTCGGCATTAGGCTATATTCACATGGCCATACAAATTTTACTGATTGTTAGGCTAGGATCAAAAGTTCTTGTGTAATTGACTAGTAAATAGATTTTTTTTTTTTTTTTTTTTTTTTAATGCATAAAAATTTCTCAGTGGTATACATGTATATCCTCAGATCCCGTTTTCGATAAGCTTAGTGTCCATTTTTCCTGTAGGCAGCAGGATAACCCTAGGTTGTTTGTCTCCTATTGAGGGACCCAGCATGATGTTACTGTATTAAATTATCTTTTCTCCAGAGATCATTGTGCTACTGGTTTATTTTGGTCTTGGTGAATAACATTACTTTTTGAAGTAGATCAACTTCAGGTCTAATGTTCAAAATGTGTAGTGTTTGAATAATATACATGTGTAGTAATTGGTTCCTTTTTTCCTTCTTTTCAGTTTCTGCAACTGCCTTTTATCGTGCTCAGCCTGTAATTGAGTTCATGTGTGAAGTCCTAGATGTTCAGAATATCAATGAACAGACCAAACCGCTGACAGATTCCCAGCGCGTAAAATTCACCAAAGAAATAAGAGGTAAATTACATTCACTCTAGATTTCACTGTTGTCTGTGTTTTTGTCCACCAACCATAAACTACAATTTTGTTATGCAGGTTTGAAAGTGGAGGTCACACACTGTGGGCAGATGAAGAGAAAGTACAGAGTGTGTAATGTTACTCGAAGACCAGCTAGCCACCAGACGTAAGACTCTCAATTATTTGACAGTGAGATGAATTTAGTTGGAAGTGATTGTAAAGACAAAAACTTAGATATAAGAAAAGGTTTATACTTGCTCTGTGCATTGGTATTGCACAGAGCGGCCCCTTACTTCCTCTTTTGGTGTCCCCCCACCAGCGCTCTCCACTTCTCTTGTGTGTGTGCCCAACATAGAAAGCTGCTTGCTAGGGTGTAGCATGCGTGAGCATGCCCCCAAGCCGGACTATGTGCTTTTGTAGACGCACGTTGTGCGGCGTGGCCCTGCCCCTGCTCCCTCAGTGGATTTGATAGCTAGCAGGAGCCAATGACTCCTACTTCTCTTAGCAAGGTCTGTGAGGCCAGGCACAGTTCTGGATTAATAGAGGACTCAGGTGTTTGGGTGGGGGGGTTGTTAACAGACAATGAAAAGTTTTTTACCTTAGTGCAGAGAATGGATTAGGGTAAAAACCTTTAGTGTTTTCAACTACTTGAATGCTTTTACTAAAGATCTTTAACCTCTTAAGCCCAGGGATTGTTACAGCTTAATTCCTAGAGCAGCTTCTGTGGTTTACTGTGCATCAGTTTATATCATGCTATCAAAATTGGTTGTGCCAAGTATATAAAACAGGGTTAAGACCTTATTTTTGTATTTGTGTATACAGTAATACCTTGGTTTACGAAAATTTAATTTGTTCTGCAGGACTTTTCGTATAGCGAAAAATTTGTAAACCGAAACGCCGTTTCCCATAGGAATGCATTGAAAACCAATTAATCCGTTCTGGAGGTCAGAAAAAAGTAAACGCTACTAAAATACCGCATTAGTTATTTTATCAAGTCATGTGGTATTTTAGTAGTGACAACCATGTGTTAATGTTTCAGGTGTCAGCGGGGCTCCGCACTGACAGCTGAATGTAAAAAAAAGAATTGCCGGCAATTAAAAAAAATAAAACAAAAAATGGCATGAGGTCCTTTGGGTCTGGTATGGATTTTGAGGGGAACTCCCACGCCAAAATTTAAAAAAAAAAAAAAATGGTGTGGCGGTCCCCCCCAAAATCCATACCAGACCCTTATCCGAGCATGCAGGTCAGGAAAGGTGGCGAGACGAGTGAGCATCCCCTCCTGAACCATACCAGGCCACATGCCCTCAACATGGGGGGTGCTTTGGGGCAGGGGTCAATGATATCACTTGGGGCGGGGTCACTCGGGTGATGTCCCTGTGTGGCCCCGCCCCTTACATATTTAAGGACTATCAAACCACTTGAGCAGGCATAAGTCTGGAAGCCATCGTCGGGAGCCGAGCCTTTTTTAAAATTCTTTTTTCAGGTTGGCAGCGGCAGTGACAGCGGGCATCGCGATTGATGTTAGATTTACTGCAGGGGACATTCTTTTAGTTTTTTCTTTTAATAAAGAACTTGTCAAAGACCGTGTCCTGTCTTTTTTCACACTACACTTTTTGTTTTTGTGAATGAGTAGGGGTACCATGTACCCCATACTCATTCACATGGGGAGGGGCTGGGATCTGAGGGCCAGGGTTGTGGGGATGAGGCCCAAGGTGCAGGGTTGTGGGGAAGAGGGGCCCCCCCCCTTTTCTGACCTGCCGGGCTGCATGCTTGGATAAGGGTCTGGTATGTACTTCTTCTTTTTTCTTTTTTTTAATTTTGGCGTGGGAGTTCCCCTTAAAATCCATACCAGACCTGAAGGGCTTGGTTTGGATGGAAGGGTGGACCCCACACCGTTTTTTTACATTTATTATTCTGGATTTTAAATGTAATTACCACTTTTTTTTTTCTTCACTATAGCCCAGAAATTCAGCTGTCCCTTTCCTCCCAGCTAAAAAAAAGTTTTCTTTTAGTTTATTTCCATTAGTTAAGAGAAACAATGTTTCCTTTTAGTTTCTTAAAAGAAACAAAGTTTCCGTTAACTCCGGGGAAAGTGACAGCTAATTCTGTGAGCTATAGTGAAGAAAAAAAAAAGCCGGCAATTGCATTTAAAAATCAGCACCGACAATACACTTCATATTGTGAAAAAAAAAAAAAATTGTAAACTGAGGTATTATTTTCAATGGATTTTCATTCGTAAACCGAAAATTACCTTAACCAAGGCATTTGTAAACCGAGGTATTACTGTATTTATAGGTTCCGCTTGTGTAAAAAAAAAAAAGTACATATATAAATATAGTTTACATAAATATAGATTTACATTAGTGTTACTAAACCCACAAGAGTAAAATCAGTCTGTATATGCAGAAAAGCATGCTTGATATACTCACTGTGGAACCTAAGGGGTTAATCCTCTGCATTGTGTAATCCCCGTCTTCCACTGTCCCTGACTCATCTCCTGATAGACCAGCTGCGATTTCTCCTGCGCTCTAGGGCCCAGACCGGTGGCAAATAGATGGAACCAACACCAGAGCAAGCGACCACCAGTATATTTCAAGGTTGTGCAGCTCCAAAACAGGGCTGGGGAAGCCCGATCGATACTGCAAAGTGAAACAAAAAACAAGAAGCGCACCAACCTTGCGCATTACCTCAGTAACAGAATTTATTAATAAAAGATAGGTACTCACAAACAGCGAATAAAATCAGGCATGTAGTCCTCAAAGGGACTTCAAAGATAAGAAGCCAGTGCGAATCCCATCATGGGGGTAGACACTCAGTATAACTGACGCGTTTTTCGAAGGCTATGCCTTCTTCCTCAGAGCTCAGGGTGTAACATGTTGGCGCTGCAGCTGCCCCTTTTGACATGTGTTTGGCAGTGTTCAAGTCTTCTTTAACCCCTTGACGCCAATCGCATATATGTCCGTGACTCCCGGAAAGGTCCCGATCTCCCCTTTTGATCGGGACCTTTTCCAATCATGTGACGGCAAATCACGGCGGTCACATGACCCTAAAACCCCGCCCTGCCTCCCGGCTTCTGAAACTCTTAAAGGGCCGGGAGGCGCCGGCGCGAAAAGGTTAAGCAGCAATATAGCCCGTTGTCTGGATCCTGTCTCCTTTAAACTCCCAGCAAAGGATTTTAGAAGCAAGTTGAAAATCCCATTTTCCCTCAATTGGGAAAACTATGGCAGAGTGCCAGACCAGGCCCATCCTACCCATTAGTTAATTGCCTTGCATTCAGAAATTCTAACTTATCTGGTCAACATGGGATGAATTTTGGCATAGCCTGGAATATGTCTGCATCTGGTGCACGCTGTTAATCACTTGTCCACTTTTGCCCTCTGCCTCTTGGAATGGTAGGTCTGAGCAGCTCACTTAGATGGTCACATGGAAACCCAGGGCTGGAAGTGCATCTTTTGCAATTGAAAGCAGAAAAGATGCAGTCTCTGAAGTAAGGAAGGGGGATAAGTGAGTAATAAAATAGGAAGGGTTTGGGCAAAAGACAATACCAAAGGCTGTATTACACACTAATAACTAATATTCTGGTACAAAAAGGTGAACTAAGCCTTCAAATCTTGCTGCGTGCAGACAAGTTAAAATTTTAAGTTAGGAGGTCTTGGCTACAAAAATGGGCACATACCAATATAAAATCTTCTGCAACCTATCCTTGCTGTTATTTAAGTGGGGCAAGGGTTTTAGATGGAACAGAAATGTCAGTTTAGACATCAGTAGAGGCAGTGTAAGCCTACTACTGATGATTCACTGGCCTGGATCAAGCATGTGTTCAGCAATCAATCTGGCCTCTGCTTGCTATGGATAGTGTGAGTGTATGATGGAGAGAGAGATTTTTTGCTTTGTCTGGTTTTCCTCCTTGTTGCTCTGCAAATTGGTCTGGCTGCTGTTAAATGTTTTTTTCATATAGTGGACTAAAGTATCCAAACCCAAACCAAAATTGTAGTATATCACAGTTTACTGGTTCTTAAATGTGATGGATGTTACTTTTCTCTAAGTTTTTTTTTTTTATTATCACCTGGTGATCCGGCCAATAGGTCATGTTACTTTAAAGCGTAACTCCACTTTCTTGAAAATTGGCGAATAAAAAAAAAATACAGCTTATACAATTGCAACTGAAATCATATTGTAATTGAATGTTATTAAAAATTACCTTTCCTTTTTCAATCTGCAGCACTGTAATTTCCTGTAAAATTTAATATGGCTTCCTGGAGACATTCTGTACACAGATGGTGTGCAGAATGCCCCCATAAATGTAATTTCCTGTCTGAGTGATTGGCTCACTGTTTCTCAGCAGTCTGCATACAAGATGAGTCAGATTTTTGGCATCTCCTGCAAACAAAAAAATAATTTTTGTTGTGATACTTCCAAAGGGAATTAAGTCTAAAGGGATACATACCCTGCCAATTTCTTCATTAGACCCCTGCTCCCATACAGATTCAGTATGCACATGGACACAAACGGCTATTTCTTCAGAATAACAAAAGGTAGGAATTCAAAACCGTTTGTTAAAATCCTTGCAATGTACATAGATCACCCAGAGGCGGATTTTTTTTTCCCCGCCACCCATTAGCACAAATACTGCTACAGGGCGGCAGGGCTGCGCAAAATCACGTGCATATATATGTGATTTTGTATTTCTAGGTAGGGGGTGCGTGTGCCCTACCCGTGCCGTCATTGGCAGCTACAGCTGTCAATCACCAGGTCCCGGACAGAGATTGCCCGTCGGCACCCAGCGATCACAGGGGAGAGGTCTGTATGTAAACAATACAGATCTCTACCCTGTCAGCTCCAGCATGCTACAAAACCGCATGCCTCTCTAGTAAAACACGCACACAGTTAACCCTTTGCCCCAGATGTTAATCCCTTTCCTGCACAGTGTCAGTTCTTTTTATTAGCACTTATTACTATATTAGTGTCACTGGGGATGTCCGTGACAGCTCCCCCCCTTCCCAGTGTCAGAATGCCTGTCGCAGTCCCACTATAAATCGTTGATTGCTGCCATTACTACTATAAAAAAAAAAATTATTCGAGTCTATATACTGCCATTTGTAAACGCTATGACTTTCACCAAACCAATTAATTTACACGTATTGGGATTTTTTTTTTTGGCAAAGACATGTAGCAGAATACATTTTGGCCTAAATGTATGACAACATTTTTTTTTTTTTTTTAACTGGATGTTTTATAGAAAAAAGTAATAAATATTGTTTTTTTTTTTCCTCAAAATTGTTGGCCAATTTTTGTTTTATAGTGCAAAAAATAAAAAGCGCACAGGTGATCAAATACCACTAAAAGAAAGCTCCATTTGTGGGTAAAAAGGACATAAATTAAATTTTAGGTGCAGTGTTGCATGACCGCGCAATTGTCAATTAAAGTAACAAAGCACCGTATCACAAAATAATGACCTAGTCAGGATGGGGGGTAAATCCTCTGGAGGGCAAGTGATTAACATATCAAGTTGTCCAGCAAAGTAAGAGGAACAAACCAAACCATTTAAGGGCCTGTTCACACCAGATACAGCCCAGTGTTTTTTTTTTCCTGCATCAAAAATGCATGGACAGTAGGTTATATGGATTCCAATAGCTTAGTTCACACCATTGCAGTCCATTCCAGTGCAGAAAAAAAAATTAGCATCTGAGCCAATGCAGCAAAATGTGCCAGAATGCACGTCACTAATTGGCCCCCTTTGCACTAGTACAACTTCTGATGGGCTCCTCAGAATCACATGACAAGGGAAATCACATGGTTTTCAATGGTGCCCTGCGATTTCAGCCCCATAGAATTTTATTTTAAACACTCACAGAAGTCACATCAGCATTGGATAACACAGACCTGGGTGCTTACAAAAGTCAGCTTTTAGTCATTTATGTCAAAATGTTTATCCCAAAAGGAAAAAATGTTGCTGTAACTACCTAAAAAATGTTAGTTGGAGTTAAGCTTTATTTGCTAGTCAAATCCTTCTAAACCTGCTATTGCATTGAATGTCACCCTCTCCTCAGACTAACAAAGCTGCAGTCCTAAGGTGTCTCAGTTGCTCTTCCAGTGAAGTGGAGACACCCTAAGACAGGAACTGTTACTGGCTTTATCACCAAATGAAAATAAAGGTAAAAAAAATAAAATGAATGCAGACACCATGTTTTTAGGTTTGGGTAAGCTGAATTGTATATTCACATTTTTGTTTTTGTTTTTAATATAATTTTAAATTCACTCCCCTTTGCAAATCAGCATCTTATGTCATTATGTGCTTGCGTATAGTTTCCCCTTGCAGCTGGAGAATGGCCAGGCCATGGAGTGCACAGTTGCCCAGTACTTCAAACAGAAATACAGCTTGCAGCTAAAATATCCACATCTCCCTTGCTTGCAAGTCGGTCAAGAACAGAAACATACCTATTTGCCCCTAGAGGTAAGCATTTTGCTACAAACACTTATTCATTTTGGGTTGGCAGGAAAGCTTTTTGCAATTATAAAGCAAATTTGTCTCTTGCCCATACTGGGAAATGTAACCAGACAGCAACCAGTACTTACCTTTCCTACTCTTCTGCTGCTCCAAAAATATTGTCAGACTGCTCAAAAAACCTCTAGTAATTCTCTGCATTAGGCAGTATGTGACACTTCTTCCCTTGCCTCGCCACAATAGAACACTCTGTGCCTGAGCAGCCAATCACCAGGCTTAAATGATTTTAAGGGACCGTATGCAGTAAGTTCTGATTTTCATAGAAATCTCAGGCAGTGGAGCATGGTGGCAGGGGAGTGTAAGTAACAAATTGACTGCCTATGGTCTCTCCTGCTTACTATAGGCAAAATAAAGGTTAACCATTTGGTACCAAGGTAATTTTTTCATTTGTTGCATTCAGTAAAATCTGCATTTTTTTTTGCTAGAGATTTTTGTAACCTTGTATACATATTTTGTGAAAGAGGCCCTGGAGAAAAAAATGGTGGTAGTTGCAATTTTTTAAGACACATTTGTAAAAATTTTCAGGAAAAATACATTGTTTGCACTAAAATTGATTACCAATTTTTGGTAAAAGGTTGGGTTGCGTTGAGTAAATAACAAATGTCAGTCTTGGTCTTTAAAACTATACACGCTCATGGAATTGCAAAAGACTATGGTACATAAAATTCGTCATAGGCGATGCATTAAAAGCCTTTATAGGTCATCCGTTTAGATTTGACTTTGAGTTATGGTCTTAGAATTATTGCTCTCACCCCGAAGTTCACAAGGATACCTCACTATGTAGCACAGTTGATGTTTACACATGCTTGCCCTGTGCTGCGCTTTTTATATGGGGTATGTGCAGGGTTGATGGGGGTTCTTTAAAATTTTCTTAATGTGATTTTTCATGAATTTGTCTTGCAAGATCACCTCGGTTCACTTATCTCACTTATCTCATTGAAAACTGGATTTTTAATGTACTCTGGGGGTTTTACACCTTACTTGCATGTGTTTCTTTGCAGTGTGATTTGCGCCATTCACTTTGTATGGCCCAATTCACACCTCACCCACAGGAAAGATGCATGTACTTTTTTTTCTGCACTGGAATCGAATCACATGGATGTGAAGTGATAACCCATGCAATCCAATTCAGCTAACCACACTGTTCTGCGAACCTGCAGATGATGCGGAGTGGGAAACGCACAAAATTCACTGCAAATTCCGCAACGCATCAGTGTGGCCCAGCACTTAGAGAATATGGAATTTGGACAATGAAAAAAAGCTTGTACTTTGGACCAGCAAGTCCTGCATTTGCTGAATTCTTGCAAGGTGGGAATTATCACTTTATCACTTCTTATCCCAGGAGGATTCTCCTAATAGATGTATCCATGTATTACTCCCAGTGTCTGGTTTTACAGAACAGGCAGTTTTTTTCCCCATTGGGAGATCTTCTGTTGGTTATTTTAGTCTGACTTCTGCTGGACCTCATCTGACAGCTATAAGGTGTTCACCTATGGAAAAATTTGCAGCTTCCCACTTACAACTAGTGACAGATTCTTAAAGTTGGACAGTGCTGGGTCTGAAATTCCTCACTTTTTCTTCTACACTCAAGTTTTGTTTGTTTTGATCTGATCCCCACTTTTTAGATGACTATGGTCCTATCCTACACACGTGTGCCTTCTTTCTTCCCTGTAAAGAAGTCTCAACTCCCATACTTCTGGAAGGTTAATGAGCAGGACACTGTTACTCAGCTGCTGAGCTCCCATAAGTGGGATAGTATAAGTGTTGAGGCCTTTGTGGGACCTAATTATTAGACAATTCTAATGGTGTGTGTGTGTGTGTGTTTGCACCGATACCATTTTTTTTTCCCCCACGGAATAGAAGTACTGATATTTTTTTTTTTTTATAAAGTACTCGTCAATACAATTTTTGTGTGATATGGAAAAACACCCGCATTTGCATGTTACCGCACTGCACTTGGTGTGAACAAGCCCTAAAATGTACTCTGTGAGGCAGAGTTCAGTTGTCGGTTGTAAACCCCCACCCCCCCTTTCTTTTACCAAAATCACCCTCTCACCACAACTCAGCCCCTTCCCCCAATCCCCCCTTCTAGCGCAACCCCCAGTCCCCCCTCCTAGCACAACCCCCACTCAAATCACCCTCCCACCACAACTCATCCCCTTCCCTAAATCCCCTCCCCCTAAATCCCCCACTTAGCACGACCCCCCCCCCCCCCCACTTCCAAATCTTCCTTCTTCCTAGCACAAATTCTGTCTCTACAGTAGTGACAGCAGCAGGGAGGGGGAGAGCCAGGAAGGATTATAGGTAACTGCTGACAGTTGAAATGTCATCTGTTAAGGATGGGGGTCCACCATGTCCTTAACTGATAATTGCCTGCATTCTTTTGTTTACATTTCAGCTGTCAGCGGGGTAATCCTGCTGAAAGAACTGAACCTGAAGGTATCGCTTTTATTTGCACGAGTACCAATACTCGTGTGAATGCTTTATATCTATATATCTATATATATATTTTTTTTCTTTTTCTTGGTCACCTCTTACTAAGGCTCTTCTTCCCCGATTGCTCAGTTTTGCTGGGCGACCAGCTTTTGGAAAAGTCCTGGCTGTGCTAAACTGCTTCCATTTGAGAATTATGGAGGCCACTGCGTTCTTGGGAACCTTCAGTGCAGCAGACATTTTTGGTAGTCTTCCCCAGGTCTGTGCCTTGCAATAATCTTGTCTCTGAGTTCTGCAGGCATTTCCTTTGACCTCATGGCTTTTACTCTGATACAGTACGTTTTGTAGGCTGTGAGGTCTTTTGGAGAGAGGTGTGTGTGCCTTTTCGAATAATGTCCAATTTAATTTACTGCAGGTGGACTCCAATCAAGGTGTACAAACATCTCAGCAATGTTCAAGAGGAATAGGAGGCACCTGAGCTAAATTTCAAGTGCTACAAAGGATCTAAATAATTATTCCAATAAGATATTGCAGTTTTTCAGAAATCTGGAGATTGAGAAAAAAATGAATTAAAACTGTAGCATCAGGCTACAACATGCCAAAATTGAAATAAGTGAAGGGGGTCTAAATACTTCATGAATGCACTGTTTGTGTGCGAGTATATATATATTGGGTATGTACACTAGATGGTTCTGGTACAAGGGGAAATTATGGATTGTGTCCCCTGGTCTGCTCTAACACACACAGTAGGTCATTTTCCCCTGTCACAATAGATCTGTGCCTATGTAAACATAGGCACAGCTCTTGTTCCTCCCTTCCCAACAGATCTGCGGGTGCCGTGCTCCCCGTGAGGCAGAAGTGCAAAATTTTATGTATATATACATAATTTGCAAGGACTCCTTCATATTTATAAATTTTATTTTGTGAATCTTTTCCCTTCAGTCAAGGATAAGTTCACCTTTCATAACATTTGCCCCAACAAAAAAAGCCTAAGCCTGAATCTGGGAAACCTCTGTCTTGGAGTTCAGCCCCCAAAATGATAGGCATTTGCAATGTTCTGGATCTAGACGTGCTCAACATATTTTTTGTGCCTTTTTTTGGGGCTTCAAAAATTCTTAATTTAATCTACCAAGTCAGTCATTGCTTTCTTTTGTTCCATAGACATTCTTGCTTCTACTGACATTAAATATGTCTGCTTGCATGTCCCAACTTTCCCACGTGCAGCTTACTGTTTTTGCTGTAGGCACTCAATCCAGTTTCTTGCCCTTTGTTTGATCTATCCAGTGCACCTCATATCCCAATATCTTCAATATCTCCGGATCATACAGCTGCACCTCTAGTAATGTTGTGTACCTTATCCAGTGCAGAAAATGCAGCAAAGGATGTTATGTTGGCGAAACAGGACAGAAGTTGCAAACAAGGATTAATTTGCACAGACATACCATCAAGGAACATAAAGAAGATGACTTTTGTACACCTGCGGGACACCATTTCGCACAACCAGACCACACTTTGGGAGACCTCAATATTTTAGTTCTTAAAGGAAAATTCAAATCCATTAAGGAAAGAAAAACTTTTGAACTAAGAATGATAATTCTATTTTACACAAGAGATAACGGCCTGAATTTAGACATGGGATTCCTCAATCATTATCCAACAGTTTTATGACTATCACCTCAAGCATGACTGCCTCTGTGAGTGTTGTCTCCCCCCCCAGACTTTGCTTTTGCTGTATCTTATCTCTGTTCTCTTTTTTTTTTCTTTTTTTTTCCCATCCCCTACATCTCTTCTAACATTCTGCTAAAACATTGTGATCAGTACTGCTTGGACCTGAAGAAGGGGACATTTCCCGAAAGCTTGTCCTCAAAATTTTATGTTAGTGCAAATAAAAAAAGTATCACGGACAGTACTCAATTGTTTCTGTCGCAAATGCAGTAATACGGCTACAATCACCTCAAGTTTCTATTATGTTATAAGGTGTTTGGCTTGCCTTCCTACACACTGTACAATCTGCAGTCTGTTAATACAGCTCAGCTGGCAGACGTTTAATCTCCATCTGTCTTACAGAGCCTTATATTCCCAATAATGCAGAGCTTGAGAGGATGATTTGTAAACTTCACAGCTCTTGATGGGGGTCTTGTTACCTGGTATACTATGACCTTCACTCACTTGGGATTTGCCTCTATAAGCCTCAGTGGTTACTGGAACTGGGAAGGAATTCTGGACACTCAGTGCAAGGGACTTGTCACCAGAGGAAGCTTGTCTCCCAATCAGTGCTTAGAAATTCAGAGTAGTTTGGTTGTCCATTCAGTGCTGGCCTACAAGATCATCCGACCAGGATTTAATTGGACATTGCCCTGGCAGTGGCACCCATCAACCATTGGGGATGAACCAGAGGCTACAGAAAAACCAGTCCAATTCTGGTATGGGCGGGACTTCACCAACTCTGTCTGCCATGCACGTCCCAGGTGTGGAAAATTGGTGGTTGGACTGCTCGGGTGTTGTCTAAACTTTTGAGAATGGCCTCTTCACCCCAGACTGTTTTGATGCATTTTGTCCCATTGACCACCTGGGTTCAGCAAACTGAGCAAGTTTGTCTCTAGGTCCAGGGATCATCCAGCCTTCATGGTAGATTCCCAGGTAACTCTGGGAGTAGTTCAACCTGATCAGCATTTCCCTTCTCTGAAACACCTCCCTTGCCTTTTCCACAGGATTGAGATAGTATTGAGTAGTTTGTCACCATTTTAAGGGCATGTGCAATTTTAAAGCATGACATATTTGGTATCTATTTACTTGACGTAACATCATCTTTTATATCTTACCAAACAATTGAGTATTGCATTGTGTTTGCATGCACTTAAATTAAAGTGTATTTTTCTCGAAAATTAGCTTTTGACAAACTGCTGACACAAATATCATGTAACTTAAAGAATTGCAACACCCACCATTTTTTTTTTTCCATGGTTTTTGCTTTTAAAGAATATATAATGTGTGGGGGTTGTATGTAAATGTATGTGTGTGTTTGTAAAAAAGCATTGTGATTCTCATCACACTGAACTGGACCAGGTGGATGTGGTACTTGGACTTTTTTTTTTTTTTTTTTTTTTTTACACCAGATGATAATTTTTACTGATCTTTTTTTTCCAAAGATTTTCCTTTTTTTTTTTTTTTTTTTTTTACACAGATGAAATTTTTACTGATCTTTTTTTTCCAAAGATTTTCCTTTTTTTTTTTTTTTTTTTAAATGAACAAACCATTCAAACATGCAAACCAAAAGGCTCAATGTTCTAATGGTCACATGTGTAAGTTTAGGCAAGTGGACCTTCAGGCCTCTTCTACACATGTTTCGATCATTAGATCCTTCAGCCTACTGACCTATTTTTCATGAGCTTGTTGGCTTGCTTGCTCTGTTGCCCACCCCTCAGTTAAATGGCTGTTGTATGTCCAGTGTGTATATTTAGGAACCCAGATCCTCCTCCCCCCCCCCCCCCCCATTAGTAGTTTGCTAGTATACACGATGAGAAAATCAGATGAAGAAAATGCTTCTGGAGTGATTGTCCAATAATCTGGACGTTGGTACACAGCTTTTGAGCTGATCATGACAGTTCATGTGAAAATGTCCAAAAGGACAAGCACGGAAATGTCTCATAAGAGAACAGAATGAATAATTTTTGTACTAGTGACCACGCCCATGCATCCTACGAAAACAAAAGAATACATCACAATATATTACATCACCTGCAAGAATTTTTGGAGTCTTTAGTAACCTATTCATTTTTGATGAGACTAGCATGCAAAAAACAATAATTTATCCGATATTTTCACTGTGTGTACTAGGCATAGGTAGACAAACAATCATAAAGCTAAATAACTTGGGCGCAGCTAAGGGAATAGTCCAGGTTGCCTATAGGTACAACATGTTTTCACAGGTAAATACAAACTCAAAATCTACATGTAGAGCCTTGAGATCACAGGCTCACAGGTTCAAAACTAGAAGAATTTTTGTGCCCATCTCCAACCTAGGTTCGTATCCCATTGCCTGCCAAAATTTTCCATAATTTAGCCGAATAGGTTAGATAGGGAAAAGAAAAAGTGGAAACTGAATAGGTGAGCTGTACGGAAGGACAGATGTCACTTTTCTGTTATGATCCACTCTTTCTATTGCTTTGCTACAAGATGGGGATTGGGAGGGTTTATACAAAAGCTGTCATAAAGCTTTGTTTGCCATTGTCCACTGTACTAGAACAACTTAATCCTGTGTCCTTTAATGTACTCAAAGATTACAAATTACAGTAAGTAATAACCCTTTCATTTACACCTGTTAAGGGACACTAGTCCCACATCTCTATTATTGACCTTATGTGGTGCTTGCTCACAAAATGGAGGCCTTATGTTTGGCGGGTGGCGTTAAATGGGAGCGTTCTTGTTTGTCTGTCATTGTCCAAACCTCATAGGTGGCAGTATAACCCAAATGTGTCAGAATTACTACATTCCTGTTTTCCTCAGTGGACTTTGGATTTTATGCTAAATACAAAAATCGTATTTAAATATTTTGGTTAAATTTTTTTTTTCTTTTCTTTTTTTTGGTGAATAGTGAATCTCTTCTAAAATGACTTTCAAAACTGACTTTCTTAATTAAACTGACCTCAAGTCATAATTTTGCTTTACAACCAGGATAAGGTTACCAGCTTTTTTCTGTGTGTCATACAGGTCATTCGTATAAAGGTAGTGCAGTAAAAAAGGGCAATAAATTGTATATTGGGGTATATTACTAGATCTTAACGCATAGGTTGAAAGTACTTCGACACAAATTATCTGTTCTTAATTTTCAGGTCTGTAACATTGTAGCTGGCCAACGATGTATTAAGAAGCTGACTGACAATCAGACTTCCACAATGATCAAAGCAACAGCTCGGTCTGCCCCAGACAGACAGGAGGAAATCAGCAGGCTGGTAAGTGCTTACAGCATTTGGGAATAAACTATATATTTTATCTTGGTGATATTAACCACTTGTCTACCAGGCACTTTCACCCCCTTCCTGCCCAGGCCAATTTTCAGCTTTCAGCGCTGACGCGCTTTGAATGACAATTGCGTGGTCATACAACACTGTACCCATCTGAAATTTTTTTCTTTACTTGAGAGCTTTCTTTTGGTGGTATTTAATCACCACTGGGTTTTTTATTTTTCGCAAAACAAACCAAAAACAACTGAAAATTAAAAAAAAAAAAAAAAAAATTTTTTTTTCTTTGTTTCTGTTATAAAATTCTGTAAATTTTATAACAGGGAGCAATTTCTCCCCTTCTTTGATGTGCGCTAATGAGGCTGCAGTAATGGGTACTGATAGGTGGCACTGATGAGGAGGCACTGGTAGGTGGCACTGATGGGTGTTGACAGGCATCACTGATGGGCACTGAAAGGCAGTACTCATATGTGGCACTGATAGTTGGCGCTGATTGGTACTGATATGTGGCATTGATGTGCACTTGTAGGCACTGATAGATGGCATTGATGTGCACTGATAGGTGGCATTGATGGGCACTAACAGGTGGCATTGATGGGCACTAACAGGTGGCATTGATGGACACTGACAGGTGGCACTGATGGGGCTCCACTGATCATTAGGGCACTGAACATCAGTGCCCTGATGATCAGTGTAGATGTCTCCTCTGAGGAATGCCAATTACCGGCTCTCATCTCGAGCTGTCAGCGTGAGTAGAGGAATGCCGATAACCGACATTTCCTTATTTACATGTGATCAGCTGTGATTGGATACAGCTGATCACATGACAGAGCCAAAGTCATCGGCTCTTTCCACTGATCGGTGATCCGCTATGTCCCAGGGACACAGCGCACCACCGATCGGCACGCACACATGGTTAGAGTGGGTGGACGTCATATGATGTCCTCCCAGAACGAGAGAACCACCGCCCGTCCGCCATTTCCTTATATGGCAGGCGGGACGCGGTTAAAGGTATCGTAAAAAGAAAAAAAGTCATACCTGCTTTGTGCAGTGGATGTAGGATATGTGGTTAGACTACTGGTTATGTGCAGCTACTTTAAAGCAGAACTCCATGTAAATTGTTTATTTTCCCATGCATTTCGACTGTGCCTGGGAAGACTGCTCATTTTTGTCCAGGGGTTTTGGGAAGAGCTATATACGTACCCGATCTGCCAGAAAACCGTTCTCCCCCCCCACACATCCAGCTGTGGACTGTCCTTACGCCTGGAGCTGCGTGATGACATCAGGAACAGTCCATTCACAAGACTGCTAGTTTACAGGGGGGCAGAAGTGGCAGGGACTGGTCTTGGGCTCTGAGGATCAGCAGATTCGGTAAGTATATCCTCACTGTTATCAGACAACGAGCAGTTGGCCCCTGCAGTGTGGGTACAGCCCCACTGCATGGTTCAAAAACATTTTTGAGCTGGATTTCCGCTTTGCTTGACACTGGCAAAAGCTTTTTCACAGCTCTCTTCCTCTAATTCTACCTCCCTAATGGAATAGTATTTTTGATTAAGGCAGATGTTACTGGAGCCTTCAATCTTCATTGCCCAAAAGTACACTTCTGCCTCTCTACTACCTGAACCATCTTTTCAGGTTTATGACCCTGATCCTCCCCACCTCTTTGAGGAAGATCTTGAGGAGGATAGGGTTGATACTGAAGAAGATCCTGCAGAGGTATTTTTAAGACACAAGCAAAGGATCCACTCTATCCTCTCTACAGTGAGCTTACTTATTGATGCTGTGCTCACTAGCCTTTGTCTATCAGCCCCAAAATCTCCCTAGCCAAAACAAGCTCTGTGAACTTTCCTTTGCACATGAAAGTTAACTGTACTTTGCATGATTTGCCAAATCCTGACAAGGTATTTATTCCTCCAAATCTTTGAGTTCTATCCTATGGAAAAGGTATTTATGAAAAAAATGGAGTGGATCCTGCCATCTCTGTCCTCAACAAGCATCTCACTCTTTCTTCTTTCCTCCTTAAATGATTCGGTCAACAGGCTTAAAACCTTATTGAATGCAACCTTTGCTCTCATTGGTTATGCCTTACAACGCACTCCATTGTGGCCATGTTGATTTGTCAGACTGTAGCTAACTGGTAGAATAAAGAGAACATGATTCTGTGTTGGAAGAACTTGTTCTCCTAGAACAATTGTAACTCGTACTGCAAACTGCTCCATAAAACCAACTTAAACCTACTACTACAGCTACAACCTCTTCCACTGAAAGAGGTGTTTTTAGCATTTCCTAGGCATCCTCCTATAAATGAATGGCAAGACCATCATTTTGTGGCAAGCCTTGGACCCTAAAATAATCCATGCCTACCCAGAATCCCTTTTTCAAAATAAAGGGGTGCCCTCACTCACTGGATCAGATGGCTTCCAACCTCTGGGTCCAATCTGTCATTTCCAGGGGCTACAAAATAGAATTTCTATCCCTGTCCCATCCTTGATTCCTAACCTCCAATCTGCCAGCTTCACCTCAGACAGGCAGACTTGTGGGCTGCCTTGAATAAATTCCAGGCACAATTAGTGTTCAAAGGGTTTTACCCAAACCTATTCATGGCCACTTAACCTTGGGACTTAAATCCCTAAACGCATATCTGCGTTTCCCTAAATTGGGCATATCTGTCATAGCTTTTGCCAGATGAGGGAAATTTCCAGCATTAGTGGATACCCAAAATGCATATCTCCACATTTCTCATCCTTTCTCACACACGAATGCATTCTACACTTTGCAGTGGGAGACAAACACTTTCAATTTCTGGCCCTTCCTTTCAGGTAGTCTTCCACACCAAGAGTCTTCACAAAGGTGCTTGCTCTGCTGATTGCACTGCTAAGATTTCAGGGCATTCATGTCACAGGATACCTAAATGACCTGCTGCTGAAAGTCATACAACATTCAAAAGAAGATTAAGTCCCTTTTAAAATTTTTGGATGGGTGATGAACTTAAAGAAGACTGTCCTCCAGCCCTTCCCATTGCCTATTGTACTTGGGAATGATTGTGCACATGGCCTAGGCCAAAATATTCCTTCCCAAGACCGATTGCTTCTGAGGCCCAACTGGAAGATTCTCAGATCAACCAGACATCCTTCAACTTCTGCCTGAGGGTTCTGGGCCTCATGGTGGGTTTCCCTTTGCTCAATTCCACTCAAGTTCTTTGCAGCGCAGAGTTCTCCTATTGCAGGGCAAACTGATCCCTTCTCTGGAATACCCACTACTCTATCCAGTAAAGCAAAAATCTCCCTGGCATGGTGGATTTCCAACTCAGCCTTAAAAATCAAGGAAATCGTTCCCTCTCTCTTGGGTGGTGGATAAGACAGACATCAGGCTGGGATGGGATCTGGAATTCCCTAACTGTCCAGGCCAACACTTCCCATCAGTATTCTGGAACTGAGCGCCATAAGACTGAGTCAACACTAAACCCGCCTACTACAGTAATTCGGTAGCTGTACAGTCAGATAAGTTTTGGCTCACATAAACAAGGGGAAACTAGAAATTGGGCAAATCTGAAGGAGGTAAATATTATTCTTGAGTGGAGAAACAAACTCTTGGCCATCTACATGCAGCATAAAGTTGGTGGGGGGACTTCTGAGTTGTCAGCACCTGGTCACGGGAGTTGCCTTTCGCCCAATTGATTTTCCTTATGCTCTTTCAGAAGTAGGGAATATGATTCAACAAGAAACTGGACAGACTTGTGACCTGATCGAATGATCCTGGTGCGCCTCTGGTCCTGGTGTCTGGTGATTGTTTTCCCTGGCGATTCCCTGGACACTATTCAGTCTGCTATTATGCGTTCCATCCAGTGAAGCTTCTTAACTGCTCTGCAGACAAGAGGTGGAATTAGTTTTGGTGATAGTTATTGTCCTAAATTAGCCCAGAGGAACACTTGGTGTGCAGACATGGCCAAACGTTTGGCAAATGAGCCTTTGCCTCCTGCATCATCCTGCATTCCTCTTCAAGCATGGCTAGGTGGCTCAGGCAGCTTTTTTTCTCCCTTAGGAAAAGGGGTCTCCCCCCCCCCCCCCTTCCAAACAAAGGCCTACTCCACTACCCCATCTGTTGCTTTCTTGGGCTTTTCAGCATAAAGCATAATTTTTGCAGGTCTGAAAATCCACAACCTGTTCTGCAAAAATTTTTTTGAGTTGATCTCCAGGCCTTAGCTGATGCAATCTTTGGCTGTAAGGTGTTTTATCCAGTCACCTAAGATTCTGACCCTTGTTTTCTTGAGGTCCTGTCTTCCATTTGCTATATTGTTGCCCACCCCGCAGCTTTTTTGCTTGTGGATGTGCCATGGTTTGACTAGATCCTGTGCTCTGTACTGTATAGTTAAGGTAATGGAAATTTTGAATTAAAATCTGTATTTTGGTATCCAGGATATTGGTTTGTCCCCTCCTTTTTTTTTTTTTTTTTTTTTTCTCCTGGGTGGTGGGGTTATGAGTAGGGATGTACTGATATACTGGTGGCCAAAATGTATCATCTGAAAATAGTGTTGCCGGTAGTTTGCTGATTGGATAAAAAGGTGCTGATATTGGCCACTTAAAATGTGCGATTATACCCATGACTTTACCATGCTTGGGTGCATTTTTCATAGGTCATGTGAATCAAAAAAAGTATCAAAGCGCAACACATGTGCGTTTTTGATGAGTTTTTCAATGCATTTCAGGCCTGGGTCACACCAATGCAGTTTGCGTTTTATCCTTTTTGCAGTGGGTTTTGTGTTTTTGCACATGTGTTTTTGATGCGGTCTGCGGTTGCTGTTTTTTTTTTGGCCAACTTGTTGCAGGGCAGATTAAAAACGCATTAAAAAACGCAACACATGTGTTTTCAATTAATTTCAGGCCTGGTTCACTGCAATTGGATTTTGTCCGTTTTGCACTGCGTCTGTGCACGCGTGTTCTTTATTCATTTTTAATGCGTTGTGTTAATGGGGTTTTTTTTTTGGGGGGGGGGACAATTTGTTCCTGTGCAGATTGAAATAGCGTGAAAACTTGTCTACATGCGTTTTCTGCAGTGTCTCCGTTGAATTAAAAAGGCAACATTTTGCGTTTAAAAAAAGTCCCTGCCCCTTCCAAAGACGCAGCAGCTCAACAAGCCATAGATGTGAACGTGTCCCATAGGAAACCATGTTAAATGGACCGTGTAGTGTGTTTTTGCAAAAATCCTGAAAAAACTAATTGGTGTGAACCAGGCCTCAATTGGGTGATGCATTTTTAGTGGGTTTTTCCCCTCTCTCCAAATATGCACCAAATATGTGGCAATCAGGATTTTTAAGTGCAATGGACCAGTGTGAAGACATACATTGAAGTTAAAGGGATGCATTTTTCTTGAGCTTTTCTTGTGCTTTTTTTTTTTTTTTTATGCAAAAGCGCTGCAAAAATTGCTCTGTGTGAAAACAGCCTATTTGCTGAAAATAAATTCATTTAAATTCATATTAATTAGAAAGTCGAATAGAATATAATTATATATAAAAAATATATATTGTTAAACTGTCTATTTTGGTTTTTGGCCAAATGCATCCTGAAGTTTCTGTCTAAGAATGTTAATTTCAGTGCACCACTAGTTAGGAGGGTGCTCTGGGGAGTGCTTAGAGCAAAGCATTTTCTAGTGTCCTGTCACCTGAAGGTAGGGCCACATAACCCGTGGCCTGTGACTAGATGTCCTGTGTTCTGTGCTGTACTTCAAGAAGTGACAAGTCAAAGTTCCAATTTTTTTTCCTGGGTGTACATTTTAAATTCACGTGCACACATCTTGCTGCTTGCCGAACGCTCTGATCAAAAGTATCCAACCATGTATGCTTACTGAATCCAAAGCTGTGACCTTTGCAAGGTTTACAGATTGCAGCCCATAACTACTTTAGATTTGGGCAGCCTAGGCAGGATAAATGTACTATTGTACACCTGTATTGCCATTGACTATGACTACATGCGTTTCAGTTGCTTTTTTTCTGCATCCAAAATGCACAGAAAGTAGGTTATAATGCGGAAATAAAAAGTAAAACATGCTTAATTTTTTCTGCACAGAACTTCACTGGAACGTGGTAAAACGCATCAAGAAGGCACTGTAACGCATCAAAAACTCACTTGAACGCACATATCCCTATTTAAATTGAAGAAAAAAGAGGGGGGGAATGAACTGGAATGCACAAAACGCACTGTATCTGCATCGGAACGCATAAAAAGCACATGCAGGGAACGCATCTGGACTGCGTTTCTATGGTGTTAACTGGCCTTCAGAACTCCAGTCCAGGAAGGAGTCCCTTACTTGGTGAATTCTGTGGTGCTCGATTCATGGCTTTAGGAAGGTTGGAGTTGCCTGGCCCTTTTTTTTTTCTTTTGTAGCTGACAGATTTCATCCGTAGTTTCAATGCAATGTCTAATGTGATAAACATCCCCAGAAAAGCAAAACTTCTTGGAATCCCACCTCAGCCAGACCATAACTGCAAAGCAAGTCTGGGATGGAAAACTTTAAAATCTAGGGGATACGTTTTCGGAGACTGCATGGTGTTAATGGGCCCTCTTAAAAATGGGGAGACTGCACTGAAGGGAAGGATGTGTGAATGTAGGTGTGTGTTAATATCCCTTTTAATTTTTCCAGTAATTTTTCTATTTTAGTAGTCATCAAAATGCAACTACATTAACAGACAACTGCACGTAGTCATCTTTTGGATTCTGCAGTAAATTTCCAGATAATTTTGCTTTACATAAAATCTTGTTAAAATCATTTCTTTTGTAGGTAAAGAGCAACAGTATGGTTGGAGGACCAGACCCATACCTGAAGGAGTTTGGTATTGTTGTACATAATGAAATGACAGAGCTTACAGGCAGGGTGCTTCCAGCTCCTATGCTTCAGTATGGTGGAAGGGTAAGTTTAGTAAGTAAAATGTTTAGTTATAGTCTACATGTGCCAAAGGCAATGCCTACAGTGCATCCAGAAAGTATTCACAGCGCTTAATGTTTGCTACATTTTGTTATGTTACAGCCTTATCCCCATCATTTGCCCTCCTGAGGATTTACCCCCATCGTCATGCAATGCTGCACCCAAATGCGCTATAAAAAAAAAAGAAAAAAAAAAAGACCGACAATTTTGAGGAAATAAACAATATTTTTTACTTTTTGCTATTAAACATGTCCAGTAAAAAAAATGTATAACAAATTTCAACATAAATTTAGGCCAAAATGTATTCTGCTACATGTCTTTGCTAAAAACTAAAAAAATCCTAATACGTGTAAATTAATTGGTTTACGTGAAAGTTCTAGCATTTACAAATGGCGGTATTATGTAATGGTATTTTAAAATTTTTTTACTAGTAATTGCAGTGATCAGCGACTTATAGTGGGATTGCGGCGGACATCATGACACTGGGGAGGGAACTGACTTGGTGTCACTGACATCCCCAGTGACACCAATACAGTGATCAGTGCTAAAAAAAAAAAAAAAGCACGGACTCTGTGCTAATGGCACTGGGCAGGAAGGGGTTAACATGAGGGGAGATCAAAGGGTTAAATGTTTGCTGGGTGTGTGTTACTATGGGGCGGTGTGTGTGTGCTTCATTGTAAGCACACTTGTTTGAATGGCTTTGATGTGCATAGCCATCCAAAGCAGTGTGCCCGAGCTGATAGAGGAGAACTGTTAGTAAACAAAACGGTTCTCCTCCCCGTCGGAGATCCTCGGTAACCACCAGGCGGTGGCGCGTAATCATGGCCCGCACCCGGTGATTCACAGCCGCGGCCTTGAATGGCGGCGCAGGTAGGGCTCGCACCCCCTACCCGTAAAAAAATGCAAAATCACATATTATATAGGATTTTGCACACCCGTGCCGCCCTGTAGCAGTATTTCTGCTATAGGGCGGTCGGGAAGCGGTTAAATTTATTTTTTTTCCTTACCATTGTACAAACAATACCCAATCATGACAACGTGAAGAAGTTTATTTTGAAATCTTTGCATTTTATTAAAACTAAAAAACTAAAAAAAAAAACATGTATATAAGTATTCACAGCCTTTGCTCAATACTTTGTTGAAGCACCTTTAGCACCAATTACAGCCTCAAGTCATTTTGGATATGATGCTACAAGCTAGGCACACTTATTTTTGGGCACTTTCTCCCATTCTTCTTTGTAGTACCTCTCAAGCTCCATCACGTTGGTTCACAGCCATTTTCAGATCTCTCGGGTTCAAGTCTGGGCTCTGGCTGGGCCACTCCAGGACATTCAGAGTTGGCCCGTAGCCACTCCTTTGTTATGTGGGCTGAGTGCTTAAGGTTGTTGTCCTTTTGAAAGATGAACCGTCACCCCAGTCTAAGGTCCAGAGTGCTTTAGAACAGGTTTTCATCAAGGATGTCTAAGGCCCTTCTCCATTGATAACTCATTTTGGCCGGGTGGCCTGCTTTAGGAAGATTCCTGGTGGTTCCAAACTTCCATTTTACGGATGATGGAGGCCACTGTGGTCATTGGGACCTTCAATGCTACAGATATTTTCCTGTACCCTTCCCCATAATCTGTGCCTTGAAACAATCCTGTCTCGGAGGTCTACGGACAATTCCTTAGACTTCATGGCTTGGTTTGGGCAATGAGGATATTGGTACGGAAACCAATAATATGAAAATTATGCTAAGATATCATAAAAACAAGGCATAGTACGTATAGTGACATTGGTGCCAAAGTCAATACATCAGTGGATTTTTCAAGGTGACAGGAGAAATCCGTGACATCTGTGGTATAGAATGTGACTGTTGATTGCACTAACCAGATAGCACAAAGGATAGCGAGTTGGAGTAAACAGACCTACTCCTGGTCACTGGATCCGGGACACTGCTACGAGGATGGTCATCAGTTCAGCAACCTCCAGGTACTCTGTGTCATCTCCAGGTGTACCGTCAGCAGCCACCAGAGGAGTGTTCCACGCTCACTCCTATCAGGAATCACCTTCTGTCATCAACCACCAGGGGGATGTTGTGCACTCGCGTGTATCAGGCATCACCTTGGGGGCTCGCAGATTAAACAAGCCTGTCCTCTTAAAATATGAACTTGCAGAGTGATTAGTGTAGAAGTGGCTGGGCATATGCAGTTTAGTGCAAGCATTGCATATTTAAATTCTTCTTCACATATAACATGATATTAGTGTATTCACTGGGAGGCAGGAGAGAGAAGGGAGGGAGGGTGAAGACCTTTCCTCTTCTGGCTGGCCGCTGCTCTTGTCATTATGGGGTATTTGTAGAAAATTGAAGAAAAAATGAATTTAATTAATTTTGGAATAAGGCTGTTACATAATAAAATGTAGCAAAAGTTAAGTGCTGTGAATACTTTCTGGATGCACTGTATATAATTTGCCAACCAGATTAGTTATACATAAGCACTTGAAATCCCCAATAACCCACACTGACACATGCTACTTTTTTGTCAGAATAAAAAACTGTAGCTACTCCAAACCAAGGTGTCTGGGATATGAGAGGGAAGCAGTTCTACGCTGGCATTGAAATAAAAGTCTGGGCTGTTGCCTGCTTTGCCCCACAGAAACAGTGCAGAGAAGACCTGTTAAAGTAAGTGCATCTTTTTTTTCCCTCTTGAAAGACTGTTTACTGTGGAACCATGTTTTCTAAAGGTTTTAAATCTTTCACACAATTTAACAAATTAACATTCCAATAAAGGTTTGATATTTGCTTATTTACTGGAGAATGTTGTGTATACAAAATAAGCACAGGTGTTTGTGAATACTGCAGTGCAACTCAGTTCAACCGTGCATGGCTTCTACAGTTTTTTATGCCAAAAAAAGGCACATGGGAGAAAAACCCATCCAGACCTTTCAAGGCCCATAACCTCTTGGTGCGGTTTCAGAAATGCACCAAAGGTGCAGCACGCAGGAGTTTTAGTGCACTTTCTGTTGGGGAGGATATCTGTAAGCTGGTGTGGGAAGGTGAGGCAGTTGGAGGAGGATGACTGTCAAATGAGAATGAGAGGTGGCCAGGGAGGGATGTCTGTCAGTAGGAGGTTTAAAGTGACACTAAGAGCTAATTCACATATATGCGATGCAGATTGAAGTTCAGGTTTCACAGCTAATTGATACAGTAGCAGTTCACGTCAGGTTTACATCAGGTTCAGGACAGGATTAACTCAGGATCTTACCCTGTTCACACATGTGTGGTTTAGGAACAATTCCCATAGAAGTCAGTAGCTTGTAATCCACACCTGAAGCCACTGCTTAGAAATCGGACAGTACTCTTTTTTTTTTTTTTTTTTAAACTGCACTGAATCTGCACCTGCTGTGCACCGGATGTATGTGAACAGGCACCATAAGAAGCAATTTCACTTGTCATGCAGATTATATGCTGTTCAAATCTCATCCAATCCGAATATATGTGAATGAACACTTAATCTTTAAAATAAATAAAAGTCTATACTTACCTGCTCTGTGCAGTGATTTTGCACAGAGCAGCCCTGATGCTCTTCTTTTTGAGTCACCGCCGGTGCTCCTGGCTCCTCCCCCTCAAGCAGTGCCCTCAGGGAAATCTCGCCCTGGGGTGCACGCTGCATGCTCGTCCTCAAGCCGCTGCTCTGTGTCTGTCCAAAAGACACAGAGCTGTGGCTCGGCCCCGCAACTCTATCCCCACACCCTCTCTCCCTGCGCGCTCTCCTCATTGTCTCACTGGGTGTGATTAACTGCAGTGGAAACCAATGCTGTCTCAGCCAATGAAGAGGAAAAATCCCCAGACAGCAGAGGCTGTCAAACGTCGCTGGATTAGAGGGGGCTCCGGTAAGGGGGTGAAGAGGGGCACTGCACACAGAAGGTTTTTTACCCTCATGGATAGAATACATGAAGGTAAACTTTGCGCCCTTAGAACCACTTTAAGGCAACTGGTGGGAGAGATGCTTTAGTAGTGTTGGGAAATGGGGAGGGATGGGACACAATGGTGATGGAGTCAATAGGGGAAGGGGTGGGTTCAGGGAGGCAAATGAGGGAGGGATCAGGTGGTCAGGGACTGAGAAATCAAGGTGTGCTGTAACTAAAAAGGGGTGTCCTGTCAGCAGAGGTGTAAAGGCAGCCAGATAGTGATGTGACATTATTGGGGTGGTAAAGCAACTATTACGTCTATCCATGAGGGGACATCTGTCCATATTCCCAACCATATTCATTAATCTAATCCACAAGATGCTGAATCTGGGTAATGTTTAAACTGAAATGCAGGATGCCACAAGACTAGTATTAGTATGTTAAACTGGCCAAGTGCCTTAAATTTTGAGCTGCAGTAAGTGTAATGTGTTGAGACCTAACATACAGGTGTATCTCAAAAAATTGGAATATCATCAAAAAGTTCATTTTATTTCAGTAATTCAATTCAAAAGTGAAACGCATGTATAGATTCATTACATGCAGTGATATATTTCAAGCATTTCTTTCTTTTAATGTTGATTCTGGCGTTACAGCTAGTTAAAACCCAAAATCTCAGAAAATTAGAATCTTGTGAAAAAGTTCAATATTGTAGACGCATGGTGTTACATTCTAATCAACTAAATAACTCAAAACACCTGTAAAGTTTTCCTGAGCCTTTATATGGTCTCTGTCTGGTTCAATAAGTTACACAATCATGGGGAAGACTGCTGACTTTGACATTTGTCCAGAAGACCGTAAAATCAAGGTTCCAGTGTCTGGAGGAAGATTGGACAGGCACAGAATCCAAGTTGCATGAGGTCCAGTGTGAAGTTTCCACTGTCAATGATGATTTGGGGAGCCATGTCACGTGTTGGTGTTGGTCCACTGTATTTTATCAAGTCCAAAGTCAGCACAGCTCTCGACCAGGAAATTCTAGAGCACTTCATGCTTCCCTCTGCTGCCCAGCTTTTATGGAGATGCAGATTTCCTTTTCCAGCAGGACTTAGCACCTGCCCTCACTGCCAAAAGTACCAATACCTGGTTGATCATGGTATCACTGTGCTTGATTGGCCAGCAAACTCGCCTGACCTACAGAATCTGTAGGGTATTGTTTGGAGGAAGATGAGACACCAGACCCAACAATGCAGACTAGCTGAAGGCCACTATCAAAACAACCTGGGCTTCCATAACACCTCAGCAGTGCCACAGGCTGATCGCCTCCATGCCACGCCGCATTGATGCAGTAATTCATGGAAAAGGAGCCTTGACCAAGTATTGAGTGCTTACTAGACTGTACATGGACATACTTTTCAGTAAGCCAACATTTCTGAATTAAAAATCTTTTATTGGTCTTATGTAATATTTTAAATATTCTACGTTACTGAATTTTAGGTTTTCACTAGCTGTAAGCCATAGTCATCAAAATTAAAAGAAATGCTTGAAGTGTGTGTGATAAGTTTCACTTTTTTTAATTGAATTACTGAAATGAACTTTTGATCATATTCTAATTTATTGAGCTGCACCTGTAATTAGAGGGGAAAAAACCCAAAACAATCAAATTCAGCATGTACAATGGAGTCTAACCTTTTGCATTTTAGGTAGAGTAAACTCTTTTTGCAATATCTGAGATTTCCTGTTTTTTCATTCTATAATAATTTCACATTGTGTCTCCCAAAACAGAAGTTTCACAGACCAGCTGAGAAAGATTTCAAAGGATGCTGGGATGCCCATCCAGGGCCAACCATGCTTTTGTAAATATGCTCAAGGAGCAGACAGTGTGGAGCCAATGTTCAAACATTTAAAACTTACATATGTGGGTTTACAGCTTATTGTAGTTATTCTTCCTGGAAAGACTCCTGTATATGGTAAGTTAAGACTATAGTCCATATTAAAACTTGAATCCTTATTGGGCACTTTAGGACTATCATTGTTTTTAGATGTGCAAACCTTGTCATATCCGTTCTTTTAAAATACAGTTAGGTCCATATATATTTTTGGACACAGGCACAATTTTAGTTTTTTTTCAGGTATTTACCAAAAAATATTAAGGCTATAGTTATATAATGGATATGGGCTGAAAGTGCGCTCCTTCAGATTTAATTTGAGGGTATGTACATCCAAATTGGAGGAAGGGTTTACTCTTAAGAGTAGCCCCCCCCCCTTTTTCAGATGACCAAAAGTAATTGGACAATTGAATATAATCATAAAAAAAATGTTCATTTGTAATATTTTGTTGAGAATCCTTTACTGGCAATGACTGCCTGAAGTCTGGAATCCATTGACATTACCAAAGACTGGGTTTCCTCCTTTCTGATGCTTTGCCAGGCTCTAACTGCAGCTGTCTTCAGTTGTTCTTTGTTTGTGGTTCTTTTTCTGCCTTTTAGTTTTGCCATCAGCAAGTGAAATGCATGCTCAATTGGGTTGAGATCAGGTGATTGACCCGGCCATTGCCGAATATTCCACTTCTTTGCCTTCAAAAGCTCCTGCGTTGCATTTGCAGTGTGTTTTGGATCATTGTCCATCTGTACTGTGAAGCGCCGTCCAATCAACTTTGCTGCATTTGGCTGAATCTGGGCTGACAGTATATCTCTAAACACTGCAGAACTCATCCAGCGGCTTCTGTTTTTTTTTTTTTTTTTTTTTCTTTTCAACTTTCCCCTAGATTTTGCAATCCCCCACCCACTCCTCCTAACTATTTACCCGGGTCCATATAGCTCTTCCCTTCTCTTTCCAACTTTCCATTCTATACGTATGAATCTTTATATTCAATCCTCGCTTCCATCTCTTCTTTTTTCTTACTATTCTTTCTTTCCCTCCAACCTTTCTTTTTCCTTCTCCTATTCCTGCTAGGACTTACAAAACATTCCCTTTAATCTTCTATCTCCAATCGGGTCCCTGGGCCTCCCATTACTTCCATATATTTTCCTGATGCCTTAAAGTCAAGCCCATCGTCTCCATTCCTTTCTAAATTTACCCATATTACCTTTAACTATATGTTATAACTCCTCCATCCTGTTTATATATTCCACCCTATCTAACCAGTCCCTTATTGTTGGAGAATCGTGTAACTGCCAAAATTTTGGGATAATCCCTTTAGCCGCATTGATTAGGTGGTATAATATACTGTTTTTATACTGCTTCACTGGTGCTTCTGTCCTATAAAACAAACACATCTGCGGATCCTGCTGTATAGTTGTCCCCAAAATCTCTTGTATGAACTGGATAACATCTTGCCCAGAACCCCTGTATTTTTGGACAATCCCACATATATGTGACATTGTTTCCTTAGATCCACATCACCTCCAACATAATGGTGTGACTTCTACTCATTGTTTATGTACAACACTCGGTGTCATATACCACCTCGTTAAACATTTATAATTAATTTCAACCATGTTCATGTTAATCGACCCATGTGTTAATTTAAACATTTTATTTTTCTGTGATTCATTCATTTTTGTTCCCAGTTCCCTTTCCCATTTCTCTAAGAACAGCGGAGGACCTGCCCTCCCCAATTCAACAAGAATCTTAATATCCCAGAATCTTAACTGACAATATGTCTCCGTCATCCTCAGCGGTTGGGGCATCGCAATAAAAAACTGACAATATCTCAAATAAAAAACACAAATATATTTTTTTTACTCTTTAAAGCGGAGTTCCACCCAAAATGGGAAGTTCCGCTTTAAAGATTGGTCCCAGGATTGGCACCTTTGGAAGGGAGGCTGTACCCGAAATTGACAGGTACCCGCTCCCACTTCCGCTGCGATCACCTAGGCGATTGGAAGCGGGAAGTTGTCCTCCTACCCTCCCTCCCCGTAGTCTTGTGGGGCACTTGACAGGTCCCAGAAGACGACGGGGCCATTCAGGAAGCTCAGCGCTACTCACGCATGCGCAGTGGGCACCTGACTGTGAAGCCTCAAGTTGTCACAGACAGGTGCCCACACTGAAGATGCCGGCGCCTGGAATACAGGACGGCTGGTGAAAGGGGCTGCGGCAGGATCGAGGGACAGGGGTGTGGCTGTTTTTTTTTTTTTTTTTTTTTTAAAGAGTGAGTGGAACTCCGCTTTAAGTCTTGAAAAGTACCCAACTTCCCTTTTAACTACTATGTCCCCCAAATGTGCAGCTACATCTCTAAGCCATTTCCCAGAAACGTTATCCTTCCCCAGATCAACAGTGAACTATACTTCCAGTCCATTTAATTGTGCATTCTATCCCATATTCTTAATACCTCATGTGTCAATTTACTACTAGTCTCATCCATAGTGTGAAACTTTCGTTGTATCCAAATAATCCTCTCTAATTGTGTATCACTTAATATGCCTTCTATTTTAACCCAACTCTTCCCCTGTGAATTATATGTCCAATCTACAATTCGTGACAACATCACAGCAGTGTAATAGTTCTTGATATTGGGCAGGTTTAATCCTCATTTCTCTTTATTACACAGAATTTCATACCTAATTCTTGGTTTCTTATTAGCCCATATATATTTAAATATTAGTTTTTTTTATTTCAAAGAAGGATCCTGGGATATGGACTATGAGCATATGAAATTTCTATAAGATCTTTGGGACTATCACCATCTTAACCAGGTTTATATGTCCGACCCAAGAGACCCTTCTCCTTGAGTCTTCTCAGCTCATCCTTTATTTCTTCATTAATGGAATATCATTTACCCGGTATATATTATTTATGGAAGGAGTCCCTTTATGCCCAGGTAACCTAATTCCTTCTCCCTCCATGAAAATGGGAAGTCTTTTTGTAAAGTCTGCGTCACATTCTTTGAAACACATGTTCAAGATCTCTGATTTTGAAGGGTTTATTTTCAAATTTGAGAGCTCTCTACTCTTTTAGTAATCCCAATAGGTAAGGCAGAGTTAACCCGGGGTTCGCTATATAAAAAAACATATCACCATATGCCCCCACCTTGTGCTCTATCTCACCTATCTTAATTCCTCTTATATCTACACTCTTTCTCACCATTGCCAGCAAAGGTTCCAAGGATACTACAAATAAAAACAGGGATAAGGGGCATCACTGCCTTGTACCGTTGTACATCTTAAAAGACCTCAAGAGGGACCCATTTACCTTCACCTCGGCGGACGGGCCTTTATAAAGGCCCTATAGGTAATATACTGGTGCTGGAGAGATGGGGTTAAATATTACAGTACCATAGGTAGTGGGGAGGTATTCAGCTATTAAAATAAAGTCTCTCCGCAGCACAATCAAGGCTTGAGTGTGTAACAATAGGTAATATACTGGCGCTGGAGAGATGGGGTTAAATATTACTGTCCCATAGGTAGTAGGAATGTATTCAGCTATTTGAATAGTACAGTCATGAGGCAGCACCCTATAGAGTTAAGCTGGACTCTGTAGTGGAAGATAAAAGGAGAGAGAGGGGCGCCAGACTAAGTGCAGTATTTGACAATCATTTACTGCACACAATGATATGTAACTCACAAGAGGGTAAGTAGTTAGCAGGCATGGATACATAGGGACGTCATCCAGATGAGGTTCCAGAGGCAGAGAAGAGGGGGTAGAGACATTTGGGGGCCATGGCTGTGGTGGAAGCCAGGTCTCCTGACTCACATCGAGTCCTTTGCAGCGTGTACAGGCTGTGTCTCCTGTGGAACCAGGCTGGAACACAAGATGGTAGTGACGTCACTACGCCCCTTACTGCGGCATTACGTTTCTGTAGTGATGTCACTTCCGCCCGCGGCCATCTTGTGTTCCAGCCTGGTTCCACACGAAACACAGCCTGTACATGCTGCAGAGGACTCAATGTGAGTCAGGAGACCTGGCTTCCACCTTCGCAAACACCTTAGCACCTTCGCAAACAGTTTTGTATCTGTATTAAGTAGTGATATAGGTCTATAGCTAGCGCATTGTGAACTATCCTTTCCTTCTTTTAGGATGACCGTTATATACGCTTGTAGCGATTTTGCTCTTATTCCCATTCCCTCTCCTAAGGCGTTGATATATGTACAAAATTTAGGGACCAATAAGTCTCCAAATTTCTTATAACTCACCGTATATCCATCAGGTCCTGGACTTTTCCCTCCTGTCCTATTCTTCAGGGCCATATTAATTTCCTCTTGGGAGATTGCTTGTTCTAACAATACTAATTTTTCTTTTGATATTTTTGGAAGGTTTGCCATCTTTAAAAATTCCTGCCGTTTACCTTTTTTCATACAAACTGCTATAAATTTTTTGGAATGTTTCAGCAATATCAGTGATGGAGTATACTAGTTCTCCTTTTTCATCTTTAATTTTTCAATATAATTCTTTGATTTCTTCTCCTTAAGTCTTTTCACATATTTTCATATAATTTTCAAATATTTTCCTGGCTCATTCCCCCACTGGTATATTTCCTTTGAAACCTTATTAAAGATCTTCCTTGATTCCTGTTCCAGTAGGTCTTTTAACTCTTCTCTTTTTAAGTATAATCTTTGAATTAACCTCTTTTTATGTGCCTTTTCTAACCTATAGAACTCCTCTGTTGCCTCCTTTATTTTTCTCTCCCGTTGTTTCTTTTTTTTTTTTTTAGTTTCTGCCGCTATCAGGATTCCCCTCACGTATGCCTTATGTGCTTTCCAAGTGGTGGCTATAGAGACTTCCTCAGTTTCACTCTGCAGAAAAAATTGCTCTATTTCCTCTCTTAACCTCCTCTCTACCTCAGGGTCCTGTATAAGCATCTCATTCAATCTCCACATTGCCCTTTTGTTCCCTTCTCCTCCTACCTTTAGTCTTGCCCTGACAGAAGCATGATCTGAGGTAGACATAACTTCTATATTGGATTTAACCAGTGAATCTAGTTGTCTATGCTGGATCATAATATTATCCAACCGTGAGTACGATCTATGCG